CTGCTGAACAAAGAGTTGAAACCCTCACCTCCGCAAGAATCCGAGGAATGTCTGCTCGTTCACAACCGGCCTGAAGGATAACATCCCCTCTTGGGCTGGGGGCCCTTCCGGCCCCTCCCGCCGTGTGTCTGGAGGCCGAGGGTTAGGAGCCCTGGCTCCCAGCCCCACCCCGAGGATGTGAGCTCGGGCCTGGCTCCCAGGCGTGATAAAGGGAGAGGTCCGTGAACCCATTCAGATGCCACGCTTCAGAGGAAGCTCTGGGGGCTGTGGGCACGTGTGCCTATGTGTCTTTTGTCTGTGTGTGTCTGTGTATGTTTGTGTGTCTGTGTATGTGTCTGTGTACGTTTCTGTGCGTGTGTGTCTGTATGCTTGTGTATCTTCATGTGTGCGTGTATCTGTGTTTGCATCTGTGTTTATCCTTATGTGCGTCTGTGTATCTGTGTGTGTGTATATGTGCTTGTATCTTTGTATCTGCGTGTGTTTATTTCTGTGTATGTCTGCATATCTGTGTGTATGTGTATCTGTGTGTCCGTATATGTGCTTGTATGTATATGCCTGTGTTTGTATGTGCATTTGTGTCTATATATGTCTGTGTATCTGTGTATTTATTTGTATCTTTGTGTTTGTGTCTGAGTTCTGGGTGTCTGCGTTTGTGTGCATTTGTGTATCTGTGTATATATCTGTATGTATCTATTTGTATATTTGCGTATTTGTGTCTGTATCTGTGTGTGTATGTGTTTGTGTGAGTCTGCGTGCATCCGTTTGCATCTTTGTGCGTGTCCGGAGCTGGTTGCGGGGTGGATGGGGCCCTGCGCTGGTGGAGTGGGACCACATCGCACCGAGCAGCATTTTTCAGAACCCACAAGCCCAGCCTGAGAACATGGCACAAGGCTTGATGGGGTGAGAGTCTCTGACAGGAGTCTCGTGATAGAAAGATCTGGAATTCTGTCCCCTCCTCAGCCCCCCTGACTGTCATAATCAAACATCCCAGCTGCAGAACTTTCTGGTTTGGGGTTTTGTTTTGAAAATGATTATACCTCAGAGATAAGAGAGCCTTTCAAACATACCCCTAATAAGGCACAGGGGGTGCTCTGGGTAAGTCACGGCAGCAGGCATTGCTCACGTTCAATTTCTATAATTTTCATTTCAAAGGGAAAATAAATGAGCAGGCAATGTCAAACCATCTCATCATGAAACTCCAGGGCTGCTGGGGGGGACACTGAAGAAGCAAAGTGTGCCCTCCCCCACTCCGCGGCTCCTCCCTCAGGGGCACTGAGTCGGCCACATGCCCCCTCCCTCAAAGGTGGGCTGTGGGTGAGAGTGGAAGGCTGGCATCTCAGGCAGGAGGAGCGGGCTGGGGTGGGGGCAGCCACGGCAGATGTGCAGAGAGGCAGTGCTGCCGTCTGCGGAGTGAGAGGGGTGCTGCAGTCCCTGGAATGCACTCCTCCACCATCTGTCAAATCCTGCTCCCCAAAGACCAGGGGATCAGCAGGTTAACACACTGCCTCATCCTCTCGGAGCCACTCTGGGCTCTGTCAGAAAGTAATCACAGCAAGGGGGTTGAGGAGGGCAGTGCATTCTGATTGTAATGAAAATTAAACACCCGGAATACTCAGGCGGACTCCAAATCGCCAAGTCCTTGTCGCCCCAATGTCACAGCAAGGGCTGCTGAGTATCGCTGCTAAGCAGGAGGTGGTCTGAGGCAGAGAAAAGCAGAAGAACTTTCCAGAAGGAGTTACTAGCCAGCTGGAGGGAGGAGGACTGGAGGGGTGGGAAGAGAGATGGGAGGCAGGAATGGGTGCCAGATTTGAATTCGAGCTCTGCCATTTACCAGCTGAGTGACCTCAGGGAAGTTACCTCACCTCTCTGTGCCTCGGTTTTCCCACTGGTAAAATGGGAATACCAAGTGTGACAAGCAGCCTCCAAGAGAGCCCTCAAGAGCCCCTACTTCCTGGTAATCACACACTTGTACCCCCTCCCATACTGTACGAGCACTGGTCTGCACAACCAATAGAATGTGGGAGAGATGGTGTCACTTCGAGATTAGGTTATAAAAGACTGCATCAGCCTGATGGTGAGATCTGCTGGTTGAGGGGCAGCCGTGTGAGTGAGCCCCAGGCAAGCCTCAGGTGGCAGCAGCCCCAGCTGACACCTTTTTCACAACCTTGGGAGACCCTGAGCTAGAACCTTCCAGATAGGCCACTCCCAGATTCCTGACTCACAGACACTGTGCGGTGATATGCGTTGGTGTTTTAAGTTGCTCAATTTCGGGGTAACCTGTTATGCAGCAATAGATAACTGATACACCAAGGGTCACTGGGAATATTCAGGGATTCAGTGCAACGTACAGGGCTTAGCACAGAGCCTGCCATGGAGTCAACAGCTTATAAAGGCTGTGAATATATTAGTAGTCTGATGAAGCTACGGACCCTTTCTCAAAAGTGTTTTAAAATGTGCAAAATAAAATACACAGATTGCAAAGGAAAACTATGATACGGGTATACACCTGAAATGCTGCTCTATCCACAGACCTCTCGGTGGGAGGATGTGGGTCCCAAGTTAAAAACTCTTGTTGCCTGCTTTGGGTTATTACTGGATCTGTATCCCAGTTTCCTCAGACATCAGCTGTGTGTCCCTGGCTTCTTTAAACTGGGAGGATTAGAGACAAGAGGCAGCCTTGTCTCTGTCATTACATCACTGTGACCGAGCCGGACCCTCCCACCTTTGTGCCACCCAGCAGCTCTGCAGGCAGCGCCCCGAAGCTTACATGTGCTGAGACGCGTTGGGGAAGAGGCTTGAGTACTGGGGGGCCGAGTCCTCGGGGCCGTGAGGGGCTGCGTGGCTGATGACCATGAGAACGGGCCTGTGCGGGTACATCTTCTTGGATGTACGGAAGAAGCCCACGCTGTCGTTGGTGATCAGGTCTGTCAGGTAGTCCTGGGGGGTGGGGAGAGACAGGAGAAGGTGTGAGGAGCTGGGCATCTGTGCTGAGTGCCTGCCATGTGCCAGGCACCGTGCCGGGCATCGGGGACACAGCAGTGACCAAAATAGACAATCCCTCGCAGGGCCGACGGTCTAGGGGCAAACAGACAATAAATAAGCAAGTAAAACAGGGAATGTCAAATGATGTTATGCACAACAGGAAAAAAAAAGCAGAGAAGGGGTTAGGGAGGACGGGAGAGGAATTACAATTTGTCATTCATTCGTGATAGATCTTAAAATAATAATAGCTAACACTATTGAGTGCTCATGGTGCTCCAGGAATTGTTCTGTGTTTACATGTATTAGCTTGTTTAATTCTTATATAGCCCTAGAATGTAGATGTGATGATAAACCCTGTTTTCCAGAACAGGAAATGAAGACCCAGAGAAGTTAAGTGAATTGCCTAATGTCACACAGCTGATAAATGTTGCAGCCAGGCCTCCTGAGTGTTGGTCCCTAAGCCTGAAGTCTTTTCAAGGCTCCAGGGATACCATCATGCCGGGTGGATACATCCCTGCAATCCTGGAGGGTCTGTACTGGGGGCGGGAGCAGACAAACATATAAACGAAGAGCCAAGATAGTGACGACGCGTGACAGAAGAAGGAAATTAGAAAAAATGTGACAAAGAGTAACTGGGAGCTGGGGTGGGAGGAATACTTTAGCTGGGGCAATCAGGGAGGGCCTCTCTGAGGAGGTGACATTTGAGCTGAGACCTGAGTGATGAGGAGCTGGGCATGGGAAGATCTATTGTTATATCCCTGGAATTCACTTTCAGCTGCTTGCTGGAATCCTCAGGGGAGCTTTACTGATGGCTGGGCTCTCTTCCAGAGATTCTGGTTTAATTGGTCTGTGGTTCAGCCTGGGTACTGGACTTTTTAAAAGCTCACCAGGAGATTCCAATGTTCAGCCAGGAGTGAGAATCACTGATCTAGAGGAAGTGTTCCAGGCAGAGGGAACAGAAAATGCAAGGCCTCTCAGGCAGGAATGAACTTGCCTGGTGTTTGAGGAATAGAAAGAGGGTAAACAATCATCAGGTACAATGCCGGGACAATCAAAGGAGCAGCACAAACACAGGCATGCAGTAGTGCCTCCAGAAAAGTGAGACCCACTTAGATACCGGGAAGGAGGAGAGAAGAGTGGGAGGCAAAGTGATGGACAGGAAACAAGGGCTTTAAAAGCTCAGCTAAGGAGCTGAGATTTGCCTAAACTCTTCCTGAATTTGGTAAATCTTTAGCTGCTGATTTCTTATGAAGGGAATGAGTTCTTAAAAATTTACCTTCTGCTTCTCCATAAGCAGCTCTGTCCAAAATGATAACTTTCAAAAAGAGATATTATTTTAGAGAAAAGAGAAAGGTAAAGAAGTGGCTACAGCTTCCACCCTGAAGTGAACTGTACCAAATACATACATACTCCAGGTGTACCTGTGCCTCTAGAGGTACATGCCTCCAGGGACATTCGTGCTCTATGCCTATGTGCACAAGGACAGTCACTGCATCACAGTGACCAGTAATGGGAAGATGATTAATGAACTTGCACTGCTTTCATACTGTGCGACGCTGTGCAGACATTAAAAGGGCAGTAGGTCTGTAGGTACTGAGGTAGAAAGTTGTCCAAGGTACACTGTTAAGGGAAA